GCAGGAATCCATTGCCAGGGCTAAGCGAAACGGACTGCAACCGAGCCAGGCAGCCCCTGCAGGCCTGCGCCCCTTAAATACATTTAATACATGTGAGCAATGACTTACTGACTTGCCTGTAGGTATGGAATTAAAAGCCAAGGAAGAAGAGGAAAAAGTAATCTAGATAAATGACTTTATTCCCTGAGGTGACATCCAGTCAGAGCACATCCTTAGCGCTGTGCAAGTTTTAACAGAATCGTGAACAGTGAACAGAGGGATACATGACTTATATGCTGCTAAACTACATGCCTCTTAGCTTATGCTCAGCCTCTCCTAGGAAGATCTAAGGACAGTTCACTCAGCTGCACTAAATCCATTTGATGTGAAAAGAGAGTGTGTGGAGGGGGGGAGGACTCAGAAGGGCGCTGAAATGTCAGCGGCGGAGGATTAGGGCTGCACGCTGCACCCTCTCATTTTTAGCGTGCATACGCTGTCGAGCAGAAGCTTGACGGCTGGCTTGCAGGCATAGATGATGGGTGCGGGGGAGGGTTAAGAGCTACATATTTCTACCCTCTGCAATTATTTTCTTTAAAGTGCTGAAAGTGGAAAATAAAGAGAAGAGCAGCTGAACAGCCTGACAGATTTATCTTCTTCAGGGAAATAGCACACATACACCTGCACAGGCCCCTTCAAAAAAAATCCTAAGTGATTGCTATCTGCAATCTTAACATGCTGGGTGTAGAGAAGACATTTCATGAAAGGCAAGTTAATCCAACCCCTCCAGTTGCCAGATGCTCTTCTCTGAAGTGCAGCTCTAAACAGCCTATAGGCACTGTGGTTTTTAAAGATCTCTTCCTGGACCAAGGCCTGGTGGTTTCTTTGCTCAGAAAATGTCACTGTAGCTCTTTCCTCCGTTCAGCTGATTCACAGGCTCCTACCACCAGCTGAAGCAGGAGTCTGCAGAGAAGTGGGAAGCTCTAACGACCACTCTGTTTACCCCAGCCCTTCCTGGACCAGAAACATTCTTACTTGTAACGACATTTCTATCAGCATCAGCAGCTTCTTGATGCCAATCCAGACAGGCTTCCCTTTGACGTTCTGTGCAATAGTGCTGCGTTCCTTGTCTTTGAAGTTACCCAGGAGCTAGGAGGAAGAAAAGGAAAAAAAAAAAGGAAAAATCAACAACAGGAGACTGTCAGTGGGAAGAACGCTACCTAACTCAGGGAAAAGGGAATGAGAAGGTACAGAGCATTTTCTAACTTGGAAGGAAAATTTGTTGCGATATGCCTAGACAAGGCAAAACACTTCGATTCTTTTATTCTGTAATGGTTCCTTCCACAAGATCTCTAACCGAACAGTCAGTGATTCTCTTTTATGGTCCCTTCTCGGTTTTCTCCACATCAGAGTCTAGAAGGAACACCGTGGCTCGAGTCACAGGAAGTTTTCAAAACTGCTGCCAGAGTCTGTGTCTTCCAGGCTTTGGCGATGTTATCATTGTGACAATTTTGCAAGTTTGCACAAAAGATTTGCCCGCTAAGTTTATTTTAACAGCCTTCGATATTCAGTACAATTTCCACTATGGCATAAGAATAAGAATAAGAAGCCATAAATGGCATGAATTTATGAGGGACCTGTAATCTCTTCAGCACCAAACACCTTCACCTGACGTTGTTCCAATCCGTGAGAGCTTGGCATCCTCCAGGCACACTCAGTTGAAGTGTCCCAATTATGTTCATTACTCACTTCCATGCCCTCAGAACCTTTCAATCCACTCCATAAACTTTTTCCCTAAACCTACCGTTCTCTCATTTTGCCTTAATTTATCGTATGAAAAAGTAATTCAGAGGAGCCTTAGAACTGTTACGTTATGACATCATCTTTGGTGGGACAGCGTTCCCAAATGCAGTGCTACTGCAAAATCACTCCTTTCCAGCCAACTTTGAGCCTGTTTATCATCCTGGAACTTCTTCTCACCTCCAAAGCCTCCATGAGCTGCTCCCCTGTTGCAATGTTTGGCACGTGAATCGTAGTGCTGAAGGCATTCAGCATTTCCATTTCCTGCAGGACGTCTTTGCGGCTGGTGGTTCCAATGATCAGAAGCTTGCGACCCTGTCCACACAACGGAGTCAGCGTCAAGAAAGGAAAAAACAAGAGAGGAACAGTCCTGGGAAGTTCCAGCTAACTAGAAGTGAAAACTGGAAAATGGTCACGTAGAAATATCACTTAAAATAAATTAAATAGGATTAAATCTGTCAGTAATCTGTAAGTAGTCAACATCAACCACACAAGACTGCAATCAGATTTCAGAAGGTGGAGTAACGCCACCAAGGGGGTCCAAAAATGATGGTGCACAGAAGACCCACCCATACTCACAGCTTACCTGTCTTAGCTTTCCTGCTAAATCCATCATTAGAAATAGCTGAATCCTCATTAAATCTACAAGCATGAGCAAACCCCCACTCCCAAAAGCTGAATTACAGATGACTTCTTGGGGAAGAGCCCGTCTTCAGAAATCCTGCGGGTACGGCGACTTCTCTGCCACTGTGCAGACAGGCCCGACGGTCCCACAGCCCACGCTGCACAGCGCGCCCACCACTTCCAGGGTGGCCTGAGCAGTAACGGGGTTTATAAACAATGGAGCAACGAACGGAAAACGCCAGCTGCCAATAAAATCAAGTTTTGTTAGCTGATCTCGCAAATGCCATTTCAATGCTATTTGAACTTCACCAGGCAGCGTTCAGACACCGGTAACCGCTGGCTGATGGAAGGAGGTGTTGGGGTTATCAGCCCCTGTTCCAACCCAGCACACGGGGAGCCCGCGGGCTGAGCAGAGCCCTGGCTGGCCAAGGATCCTCCTCGTCGGCTGTACACAGGTTCAGCGGATGGTTCACTGAGAGTGAAGTTCTATATTTCAGCTTCGTGACACAAAACTCTGTTCATCATTATCAAAAAACCAAACCAAAATCTAAAAACTATCCCCACAGAGCAGCCAGAATTCATTTCACAAGTGCTTTGCATTCCTTTGACAAAGGATCAAAATCTACTTAAACTGCATCCACCTCTGATAAAGATGATGTGTCTCTGCAGCATTTGTGTCTTTTTCCCCGAGTGCCATTGTATCTGCTGACTTTTTGTGTTTGGACAGCGTTATGGGTTTGCGTGGCAAGGCTGTGGAAGCGGGGGTCTACAGGGGTGGCTTCTGTCAGAAGCTGCGAGAAGCTTCCCCACGTCTGACAAAGCCAGTGCCAGCCGGCTCCAAGACGGACCCGCCGCTGGCCAAGGCCAAGCCGATCAGCGATGGTGGTGGCACCTCTGTGGTAACATATTTAAGAAGGGGAAAAAACCTGCGGTAAAATGGCAGTCGAGAGAGAGGAGTGAGACTGTGTGAGAGAAACAACTCTGCGGACACCCAGGTCAGTGAAGAAGGAGGGGGAGGAGGTGCTTGAGATGCAGGAGCAGAGACCCTTCCCTTGCAGCTGGTGATGAAGACCATGGTGAGGCAGGCATGAAGGTCCACGGTGGAGCAGATCTCCACCTGTAGCCCATGGAAGGGACCCCATGCCAGGAGTAGAGGGATGCCTGAAGGAAGCTGTGACCCCGTGGGGACCCACGCTGGAGCAGCCTGTTCCTGAAGGACTGCACCCTGTGGGAAGGACCCACGCTAGGGCAGTGTGTGAAGAGCTGCAGCCCATGGGGAGGAGCTGCAGCCCGTCGGAAGGACTCACGCTGGAGAAGTTTGTGGAGAACTGTCTCCCGTGAGAGGGACCTCTCGCTGGAGCCAGGACAGAGTGTGAGGAGTCTTCCCCCTGAGGAGGAAGGAGCGGCAGAGCCAGCGTGTGATGCACTGACCATAACCCCCATTCCCCATCCCCCTGTGCCGCTCGGGGGGAGGAGGGAGAGAAACGGGAGTGAAGCTGAGCCCAGGAAGAAGGGAGGGGTGAGGGGAAGGTGTTTTAAGATCTGGTTGTATTTTTCACCATCCTCCTCTGATTTGATGGGTGATGAGTTAAACTCCCTTTTCTCCCCAGGTTCAGTCTGTTTTGTCCACGATGGTACACAGTGTGCGATCTCTCCCCGTCCTCATCTCGACCCTCGAGCCTTTCATCACGTCCCTCTCCCCTGCCCAGCTGAGGAGGGGAGCGACAGAGCGGTCTGGGTGGGCACCCAGCATTTCTCCAGGCCAAACCAAAACAGACAGATCACACTCCTGCTTTGGGCGATGGACGACGAGGAAGCACCAGAACTGGTAAGGAACCCAAGCGCTCACTTCAGGTCTGTTTTCAGCCTCCGACGGCACAAGGAAGCCCAGCAGGCTGAACCCAGCGCACACCCGGGCCACCAGCTCCACGCAACGGCTGTCGGGGACACGCCGCGCTAACCCCCCTGCGTACAGATCCCTGCCCGCGTCTCGGGCAGCTCAGAGGGGCAAAGCCTTGGAAGCACACTGGGAGCCTTCATGGGGAAAAGCAGCCAGTTCCCGCACTGACGACAGCAATGCCAGGTTTCACACCGCAGCGGGAGCAGAGGCTGCTTTACAAGTAGCCAAAACTCGCCTGCTGGTGGCACACAGCAAGCAGAGAAAGGTCTGAGTGTCCAAAAACGCCAGTAGGTAGCCTGGAGCAGGGCATGCAGCGCCCGCAGAAAGCACAGACACGGCTGTTCTGCAGGCTGCTGCTTCCACCACGGTCTGCATGTCCACGGCTTTACAACCACACGTTATTTGTTTCCTTTTTGATGGTCACTGTGTAGCAAAGCCAAGGAAGTATTTTATAATTTCCCAAGTTTGAGCCAAATCTGAGCCATCCAGTAAGATCTTGCATGCAAAGACAAAAAACCCAACGCACTCAGTGGAGAGCAAGCGAATGGCATTCGATCCTCGCTCCTACAAGGGATTCAGAAAGCCCCATCAGGTGCTCATTTTCAGCTAAAGCACTTAGCAGACCAAGAAAAATAAATGATGCTCGGCAACTGAAAAGCTTTTTGCCTGCATGAAGACAAAATTTCAGCAGTCTTCATCTTTGGAAGCGGTTGGCAAAACCGACTTTAAACACAGGCTTGGAAGCCGAGTGGAGCGAGTCCCCACAGAACGCTCGAACCATCCCCTGCTCGTGAACCAGAGGAGCAGGGTACAAACACCTCTCCCACTTGCCCTGAAGTTGCCACGCCAGGACAGGGTTACAAGGTGCCTTCACCCTGCTAAGATACACTTGGGACAACAGCACGTGTGACAGCAGAACCGACGCATGCTTAAAATCTTCGGAATGCAGAGACAGGGATTATCAGCAGATTTGACTGAGACAATTTCACTCGATTCTGATTTACTTTGCTTTCATGGTTGCTCTACATTTCCTCCACACGCTGTCCCCAGAGAGATTTTGTTCAATTCATAAATAATGCTGATATATCTGATATTATATATGGTATAACTCAGCAAAAAGTATAAGCCCTGTAAGGACAATTTCTAATACCTTCTTCAAAAAACTGTAACAAGTCATACACATGCTGCCGGGCACCTTCAAACAGTTTTCTTGTTATAGAGGTAAGGTCCTAGGGTACCAAGGAAGCCAAGGACAGACTCTTGAACAGAACCAAGACCTCCAAAACATGCACCAACGCCTTCCTGCAAGCGCAAATCCATGCAACGCTATACCCACCAAGACCGATCTGCTTTACAAGCTATAGTGATTCCTTTAAAGAATTGTTGATTACTGCATGTAACTCCCAAAATCCAGAACAGCCTGGGTAATGGCCTGCGTTAATAACGGTTTCCCATGAACTATGAGCATTCTGGGGGGGAAAATCCGCTCGGCTGCAGCCAGCAAGGCAGCATCTGTTCCCAAAACACAGCTAGCAGCAGGCGAGACACCGGCCAAGGGAAGGGCTAACTGCCTGAAGGATGCCACTTGAGCAGCTTCTGCACTGATGAAGTCCATGCTTGGTTCCAACAGAAATGGAGCCTAGCCTGGGGTTTCCGCCGAGACTACAAGGTGTCACCAGGAAAGGACGTAAGCAGCACAGAAATGTCACTCGTGAGGCGAGTTTTGCCTCCCGTAACTTCAGGTGTCCACGTACGACCTCGTTCTCTGCATTTCCTCCTTGGTCAGTGGAGCCCAGATGACGCGTGCCTCCTCCCAGCAAAGCTGCCTACACCCCAGGCTCAAACAGCAAACTATTTTCTAAACAACTAGTTCAGGCACAGAAAACCAAACCACTGGCAGCCACATGTAGTCAGATGAATCCCAAACTTGCTGTAAATCAGGCCAGCGGACAATTACTACACACACAAAAATGACTCTAAATGACTTATTAGCATTTAGGAAAGCCACTGGAATTGGTCACTGTGGCACATTCTGTGAAAACGCCAGCTCCACGCTAAACCTCACTCCAAATGCAAACACTCCAGACATTTTTAGAATGGGAAGAGAGTAAAACGGAAGTCATTATTCTACCACACAAACCCAGGGTGCTCTTTCCGCCACTCTGCAACCCCAGCCATCTCACATACATCACTGAGCTGGAGGAGTCAGAGGGAAGCAATGGGGATGCTCAGAAATATGGAATAATTTCCCTAAATGGACTCTTAGTAAATTGATGGGGGGTAAACAGAGAGGTCTATAAAATCACAGATGGTGTAGAGGAGATGAGGGGAAAGCTGTTTCTCAAAATAAAAGCTAGGGAGCACTAGATGAAATTCTCAAGCATCAGTTTAAGCTGAACAAAAGGATGTTTGCTTTCACCATACGGTTCCACTGAACTCAACCAAGCACGACACCCATCACAGCAAAAGCTTAACAAGGTTCAAAAGGAACAGGACAAGTTAATGGAGGTCAGTTCCACCAGCAATTTTTAGATCTCTCTGCTAGGATCTGTGCTCAGGACCCTGAACCACTGACGACTGAGTGGTTGAAAACTCCGCAGAACAGGCGTCTACTCTGCGCAACAGCGCTTCACATTTCTTAACAGCTCCACCCAAAACACACGGATTTTCTTTCCTGCTTTCTTCAGAAGCAGCTATGCACTTCAGCCTGCTACCTCTAAACCTGACCCACTGGAAAGCCACTTACCGTAAAACTAGCATAATCTCTGCTGTATCGATTGCTAAAAGAAAATGAAGTGCCAGCAGTCCCTTGCCCTTCTCAAAGTTCCAGGCAACTTGCTCAGCACACCAGTGGGAAGCCTACAAGTCAGAAATGTTTTGCCCCAGGCACTACCACAAAAGGCATGAAAAGCCATCAAGCCAAACTGAAAAAGCTGCCGTCGTCCAGCTGCCCCGCAGTGACACCGCACCACAGAGCATCACTGGGCTTATTCTTGCTGCTGCGAGATGTACTGCTGAAGTGCCTCCATTTTCAAAAATATTCACTTTTTTGATCCTTAATTTCTACAGCAGCTGTTGCAAAGGCGACGTGCCACGTGCTCAGTCCATGGAAGACCAGGATTAAAGCTGAACTTCAAAAAATCAGGCATAATAAGTGAGCAGCTACCAAGTAAGGAGGAGCGTGGCTTTCAACAGCCTAAGATCGTTTGGTGTCAGACTCCTCGCCAGGGCAGCTCCAGGCCTGGGTCTCCACCCACAGAGCTCAGCTAAGGGCACGTCCCGTGAGTCTGGATGCCTCCTGCCCATCTTTAGGCAGTAAAAGTGCCCCAGTTCGGAGCCCACGATCCCTCTGCACTGATGGGGGATTCCCAGTAGAGAGGCGTGTGTCTTGCCCCGCTGCCTTCCAGAAGTGGGATAGCCCCAGATTTCACCTCTCTGCTACAGGGATTTTACCCGAATAAAGGATATAATCATGCAGAGAACTACGGGACTCAAAGATCAAAGGAGGAAGCAGGTTTTTTAAACGACTCCATTTTGAAGCATTATGAGATTGCTTCATCTAACACAGTATTCACTTCCTAATGGGCACCATGTTACTGCATTGGCTACCGAAGACAAACTAGAAGATAAAAGAACTACACAGACTCTGCTACAAGCAAACGGAGCCTCAACATGTCAGCGGAGTCTCAAATTACTGAATTTCAGCAAATCTAACCAGCCCTAGGCAAGGCGAGTTGAGGGGAACGTGGAACTCTGCTATAACCAAGTATCGGTGGATACCGAAGTGCCTCTGTCGGCCCCTCCCCAGCTCTTCACTCAGCTTTGGACCCCCGTCTGTTTTTACGCGTGTGTTTTGGGGTGTCAACAACTCTTCACATGTGACGGGAGAAAGCGCAGCTCCCCACGTTTCCGAGTACAAAGGTGACGTCGCTGTTGATCGGAGGTGCTCCCAGTTCACACCAAGGGACGGGGAATCAGGAACGCATCTGGGATTACAGCAAACAGGAGGTTATTCCCCCCTTTCTCCCCTCAACTTTCACAAATGAGCAGAAGCCTCCAGCGTCCTGGTGAGGCAAGGGGCTGGGGGCCTCTGGGAGCAGTGGAAGGGCATCCACAAGAGTGGTCGAGAGCACCTCGCTAAGCCAGCCATCTCCTAACGCTGCACAAATCGTACGCCCAGCTTAGCGCGGGGATGCTGCGAGGGTCCGTCCCCCGTCGAGCCGATTGTCAGCTTTTCACAGGAACCAGCGGGGAAGCACATGTGAAACCTCCGTGGGGCTGGTGAGCGTCCCCATGCCTTGTGTGACTCTGCATGTAGATGAAGCAGCTTCGGCTTTCGGAGCTGCTGCTGCTTAGTTCTCAGAGAAGTCCTTTTCTCCCGCCTGGCTCCCTGCTGCGACAGTCCTTTTCAGTCTTTCCAGCCCCCCCCCAGTCTCTTCTCCCGCACAACACAGGGAAACTTGATTGAAATAAAGACCCAAGAGAACATGGTTTATTTTCTTCTCTTCAATCCATTTTAGAAAAGCTTTCTAATTGGTTTAAAAAAAAGTTGCTAAACAAAATGCAATGTTTTTCAGTCTTCCTGAACTGGTGGTAACAGATACCACTATTTAAGCACTGCTGAGTCGAACTAGCAAGCATGAGCTGTGACCAGGAATTTAAAGCAAACTCAGAGATGTTTCTAGTTTTCTTTGAAGTCTAACATGTTTATTCTCAAAATACAAACAAGCCAGAAAACCAGAAGCTTCAAGCCTTTGCCCTTCCCACACCATGTTAAAATAATCTAGCCTCAATAGGAAGAGAGGAGTCTGGGAGGCAGCTTTCATAAATCAATTCAACAGAGACATACACCTCGATGCATAATTAATAAGATTTCATCCCAGAAATGCTCCTCTTGCCCACGTAGCCTACAGTGAGTGCAGGAAGCTGCCTGCACACTAAGCATACTCCCTGCAAGTGACGTGACGACACCGTGTGAATACATAATCCTGGCCACAGAGCCGGGAGCCGCAGAGCCGCGCTGCCGAAACGCACTCTCCGCTCCCCACTCGCTCCTTGCCTGCGGCGTCAACCGCTCCGTCGTTCCCGTTCCTAAGCTCTTCAAACCAACTCCGTATTTCGGGCCGCTCCGAGCAGTGCAGAGCCTATCTGACAGCGACGGAGAGGTATTGTCTCCGCAGCGTCTTGCCAACGATTTTGCTCAGCACAGGGACATGCCTGGCACATCCCAGGCCAGTCCATTTTTACAAGGAATGAACCGAAACCATGATCCCAATCCCACAGAAATTCGTGTTGGTTTGACCTCATGCAGCAGGTTATGTATCTGCATCTCAAATTACAACAAAACCCCTGAAACCAGCCATTTCTTCCAAATAAATTGCTCCCCAAGGGAACCCGTCATCTCAGAGGGAACGTGGAAGGCGTTGATTAACCAGCAGTACTAGGTCCCTTGTGGGCTTCTCACTTGAGCTTGAAAACCCCGAGAGTCTCCATGCCCAAATTCAATCACTTCCACAGTAAACATTCACAGCAGAAAAGGCCTTTTCCTGCATGACTCCACCTCTTCTACACTGCTGGGGTTTTTTAAATGAAAAAAACCCCCACATGCCATGACCATTACAGGGAACTCACAAGAAACAACCAGGCCGGGAAGCAGCCTATCGTTGGAACCGCCAGCCCAGCTCAGTCCAAAGGGTCCGTCTAACCCAATGGCCTCATTTCCACAGCAGTCAATAGTGGACACTTTGAAAAAAACCAAGGGAAAAAACCCCCATCATCAATCAAACGGTGACATTTCCTCAGAAACCTCTCTCTCTACCCTCCAACAATTTATGGCTTAAGTCACCATAATATTGGCTGTCAACCCAAAGTCTTCCAGCCTCAAGGGCATTTCAAACATTGCAAAGTACAAATCTCCAGCAACATGCATAAACTTGGCAAATATCTGAGAGCTTCAAGCCCTGCACCCTGCTGTCGGGGAGACGCGGGTGCCAGCAGAAGTGCATCTGAGCAGCAGAACACATTCAGAGGACACAGTGATAAAATGGACAACGTAATATTGAAGTTCTTCCGACAACTGAACCAAATCAATTTCTGTTTTCCCCTATTGATTTATGGGAATAACCGTTGCCAGGTAGTGTGGAAATACGCAGCAACAGGTCAATGATAACGTGAGATTATGACAATGAAAAATGGCTGTGCTGTTCCTACAGGCAGCCTTTCTGTTCCAGCTCACACGGTAACAGAATCCAAGTTTCACATTAGAGGCTTCACACGGCACAGAAAGCTCACTGGAAAAAATCTTTGTTCTCCCAGGTTGACAGTCACAAGTGGAGCTTCGGGGCCTGCGGCGTTACAATTTAGTTCAAAGTTCTGTATTTGAAAGGTCTTTTCACCAAACTCTCTAACGAAAACAATACACACGCACACGTTACTGTTTCCAGGACATTAAAAAATGACCAAAAAAAATATTTCATCCAGGCTGTGCTTCTCTGCTTTTCCCTGACACCAGCTTTCAAGGTTTTTCCGTTAGTATGGCATTTATTCATGCAGGTACTTTCACGCACACAGCAGAATTCCAGGGAATGACAGGAAAAACGGCAAACAAAAACGCAGAGTCCCTGGCTGTTTGTCTCACTGGGAGCAAGCTTCAGAAACATCATCACTTGCGATGTTCTTAAACCTCCTCAAACCAGAAAGTGCAAACAGGCAGGATCAGCACGACACAAAGATCTCGCCCACTGTAATTAACACCTGATAATTTTAAGTTAAGGACAAATTAAAACCCTGACATCCACAGCCATGCATTACTCCGAAACCGATCTCGAAGTCAGGAGCGCACGGCTGGGCCGGGGACCGGTTCGGACTGAACCGTTCCTTGGTCAATCAGCAAGCAGACAGCTTGCACGCTGAAGTTCTACACGGTGGAGGTTAAACTTGTTTCTTTCATCAGTATTTCTAGGGCTAACTGCAGGAGATTCAGCTTTAAGTAATGAGATAATCCAGGCTGAATCCTCTCTGGGTATCCTAGCAATGCCCAACTGCATGAACCGCGGCAGGCTGGGATTAACTCGACAGAACCGGAGACAACAGCACTACTGCCCCTGGCAGCAGAGCAGCTAGCAGCAAGACACAGAGCCCTCCACTGCCCGAGTGACTGCAGGAATGGAGCATCTTGCCCCTCGGCTGCCTTCTTACCTGAGGGGGGGCCTTCTTCAGCAGCACCAGAAGGGCTTGCAACACCAGATTAGAGAACCGTGGTCCAATTGGGACGTAATCTGAAATGAAAAACGCGTCGTAACGCCCACCATGCAGATACACATTGAAGCCACTCCACTGTATCCCAAACGGTTCCAGGCTCACGAAGTGAATGGTTCCAGACCATTTCTGGTTTGCAATACTTCAGTACTGCAAACATTTCAGTGTTTGTGCAGAGCAGACAACACAGCTCACTCTCATCCTCCTAACTCACCTAGAAGTCTCTCAATGTCGTCCACGACGACACAGCTGAGCTGGGACTTGTACGCATCATCAAAGATCTAAAAAACAGCAAAACGGCTCATTATTAAATCTCAGCAACAAAATTACAATAGTCATGATGGGACCTGTTGACGTGTTTTTAACTAAATACAGCAGTGTTTAGAGGAAAAATCAGAGAATGAAAAAGGTAAGTACCAGGAGACTCGACTCTACCCGCGTTCAGTAAAACACTGCCACCTCAGCAAACTGAGAGCTCAGCTCTGTTCATTTACCCCATGCACTCTGCCAAAGAGCCAGCTGCCCTGCGTTTAATTGCAAGCGACGGACGGAACAGAGCACCACTGCCCTGCACTTTGAGCTGGGGCAATACCGATAAGGACACACACACAAATCCCCCGCGGCTGTAACGCAATGGCGAAGCTTTTCTCCCCAGGCTGGATACTGGTTGCTGCTCCTGCCCGCGCGCTGCGGGGAGAACAGACCGGCTCAGGGACGGATCGAGCCGCCACAACACCCTTTTGGAGCAGCAAACCCACGACCTGCAAAGCCCTGGGTCTGAACAGGAAGCAGCACTAAGGACATCAGGGCACTGCAGGTCTACCTCCATCATACGCTGTGTCAAGCAAAGTCCAAAAGGCCCCTTTGTGAACCTAACTTACAAACTGGGCTCCCAGCTGTAAGAACATTGCTCCTCTTGGAAGCTCCGCAATCCTGCAACAAACTGATCTCAGAGTAACGTTTCACTCACATGCTTCACTCCGTACCCCTCAGCTGGCAGAGTAAGTGCTGGCTTGCTTCAGTAAATTAAAGCTCCTTCCTTCCACCTGACTACTTGGAAGTGATTTAAGATGTTCAACTCGTTTGCATTCCCCCTGCTCTCCAGATTGTTAAAACTCTCGTTTAACTAAACACTACCACCTCAAAAATTCAGGCAGGATCTACTCCTTCCAAGTGCAACCCTCTGCCCTTCCTGCCTCCATCTCTGCAGACGGCTCCAGGCTTACTCATCACCGATCAGGTCTTTTGTTTTGCTGTTAGTCACGATTACACATCAGACCAAACTGGGCCAGAGCCCTGACACTTTCCTTGAGTCACTCAGCGTCAGTGCCACAAAAACATTCGTTCAACTTTATAAATAAATATATGCACAGGAATTTAGGACCTGCAGAAAGCAGAAAACACAATCACAAGGGTAATTCACTCTTCCATCCACTAGAGAATGTAGAATTGGATTGTAACTGGGCAAAAGAGTAGGACACAGAAGTACCTTCTTCATAGCTTGACACTTGGCCGTTTCAGAAAATCCGATCATCTTATCAGGAGAACAGATCTTGATGAAGGGAAAGTTGGACTCTTCTGCTATTTTTGCTGCTAACGCAGTCTTCCCACTGTGGGGGGGGCCTGAAACAAAGGACAAATATAATGGGAAAACAAGGGAGAAAAGGTCTGGTAAGGCTCAGCATGGATGATCTTTTAAGCATGTTTCTAACCCCATCCACGGGTCTCTGCATTTTGAAACGACCTCTTCCTCCTCTTGCAGAAGAACACCCCAACGCCTAGCGCAACCCAGCCCTCCAGGGCAGGGAATTCACGCGGCTGTGGAGTGGATGCAGCCCGACCCGCTGCGCAGCCCGCACAGACGGGACGTCACACGCCTTGCAGGACACGCCGCTGCACCAAAGCTACCACGTGTCTGTACTCTGGAGGATCTTCCTGAACTGCGCTTATGCCCCTTCTAAACACCATTTCTGCAGGTACTGCAGCAAACAAATGCACGGCAGGACTGCCAGGTTAATTCAAACAGAGATCAAAGGCACATCTTAATCTACACACCCAATAAAAACCCATTCGGAGTGCAGGAAGGTACTGCACACAAGCGGTACGTTGGCCACAAGCACACAGAGTTATTCAGGGGACCTATTCAAGGTTAATTTCCAAGCAATAGGTGCTAAGCCACAGTGGTAATCCACATCTTTGAACTTCAGGAAGAGGGAAGCACTAAATAACAAATACTACTCCAATATCTGTAACATAGATATTGGAACTGGTTCCCCAGACTCTTCATAGTCAGTAACCACCTAGACAGGGGCCAGTCCTCCCCTGTCTAACAGCAGAGACCTAAATGTGACCAGATGAACTGTGACATGAACTCAGTTAATTACACTGACGAGCTCTCCAGTGACTACAAAGAGAATTTAGACAACTAACTCAGCTAGAGATGCTTGCACTTTAAAACATGCACATCTAGGTTATTAACTGGGTACATTCACTTCTCTGCTGCTCCAAGAACAGTATTTATCTTAGGCTGAGAAGCCAGTTTTAAAATCTAAAGAAATCTCACCCAAGTAAATGCAAAGTGACCACTTCTCGTTTTCATCCCGTGTGTTTCTTTTATGTGCAGCTGCAGGACGTAACCGAGCACCACTCGGGCAACTGGTAGGAAGAGTTTACAGAAACTGTTTTCTTTAAATGTCTATTTTTCTTAAATTTACCTTCTAGAAGAACGCTAACCAGAGGAGTACGGTCACTGTTCTTAGTCTGTTGAACAAGCAGCTCCCCATCATCCAATACCCGTGTTACTGGATCACCCCACTTAATAATACCATTCATGATGTAGCTTGCATAGTCTTCCTGGTTGGTTCCAAACGCCTGTATTAAGACAGGGAACATTTACTTTACCAAGAAATTTTGCATCACATCAGAAAAACATGAAACAATTAAACATCACCAAAGTGACCAGGACCAAGTCTCTGGAAGATGCTGAAGTGGGACAGCCAGTACTGGAAGAGCCACCGGTGACACGCCATTGCAGTTCAAAGGACTGAACACCGCTGGGGACCTTGCACTTTTAGAAACATCCTTTCATATACCCTCAAAACAAATTCTAATCAGGGCAAGTTGCAGTGGGTTCTGAATCCACACCATTTAACAACGATTCTCAAAAATTAGGCTTAAATTTCTTGTTACAGCCCCTATTAAAGCTGTCATTCATTAACTGTGGAAGCCTAAAAGAGAGAGGGCATGTACAACCAGAAGAAGAAATCCCGGGTTGCTCTCTTTATTTGTTCTATTCCTTTTTACGATTCTCGCATGCAACAAAAGGTACAAACCAGAAGCTCAGCACTGCAGGCAGCAAGAGGCTCCCTACTTTCATTCCTACAAGGCAGGACACAGCATGTCAGCCCTTGCAGGAAGGAGAAAGAAGTGTTTTCATCTTGGTTGCCAGTCACTGACGCTTCATTTCATGGTGTGTTTCTGGCCATGTGCCGTGACCAACAAGCCTCATGTCTGATCCCAGAAGGAAGTTGCCACCTCCTGTCACTAACTGTACCAGGTGACTATTACAGGAGTTGTAAGGTGCCCACTTACTGGTTTGATATCATTCTCCAAAGATGCAAAGAAGTCTCCTCTGGTCACACGCAAGCTCTCTGCCTTCTCCATATCCACTTCCACTTTGTTGCTGGCCTAATAAAGGCAATAAAAGACACCGAAGTACAGCAGTACCGCACACCACCCCTTATCAACTTCCATCCACAGATCCAACCCCGCGGTCAGTCTGCCTCAATAAGAAAAATGCTTTTTAATAAGACATTTGTCGGAACACAGGCTGGATACCACTGGAGCAATCATCATCTTCACAGAGCCACATCCATACGCCAGCCCCACAAAGTCATCAACAGCTGTTCCACTCCACTGGGTGCAAAGCCGAACTGAAGGGTAGGGCCGTGACCCCATGTTTCAGAGGAGCCACCCCAGCTCAGAGCAGGATGGAACCATCCTTGTTGCTGCTGTGCTACCTTGACTGCATAAACCAAGAGTCAGCGCGGCTCAGACTGGTGCCCAGTGTGGGACTGATCTCACCTAAGTTTAAATTTCTAAGTTATTGGAGTTATGTAGGTTCCCTTTAGAGTAGGGAACTACTCTTTCCATTTAAAAGCTGTAGAAAAAATATCTTCATTACACTTTCTGGTTGCTGGATGGGAAGGAGATGAAGCCTCCTTCATTGGCTGACTTTTTCCGAAAGACAATGAAAGTTCGGTTTAACTCAGCTCTGAATTTCCCCACTCCTTCTTCAGCAACTGAGTCAAAAATAAGAACTATTCACACAGCTCTGCTTCAGGAGATTCAGTTGTCTATTCAAACCACGCACCTTCCTCTCTGTACAAGAAAGTCTCTAAGGCGACTGGTAAATATTAGATTACTTTCTGCTTTGTCTTTATTTGCTTCAGTTCAATGAAAGTCAGGGACCTTCCCAAGGTAGCACTATCGGTATTACTCGGAGTAAATCAGGTGCAGTTAGCTCAGCTCAGATTGCACTCCTCCTAAATGGAAAGCATCACCTTTTCCCCTTCTGCCATTCCCAAAGCACCCAGCAACATCTAAAAGCTAACGACTGGACGCAGACACACAGCCAAGACAGCCCGACCGCACTCTGCTCTTGTAAATCGTTTCTCAGTCACAGCTCGAGGTGCCCCTAGGAGGTGGCCCAAAGCCGCTCACGCTGGAGCCAGAAGAGGTTTTTAGTTCTCGAAAACAACTGGAGAGTAGCCTTTAAAGCTGGAAACTTTCTTCAGATGCCTGCAGACTCTAAAGCCAGCTGCAGACGTGTTACTGCGCGCGGCTGCAGCTCCGCAATGCGGAGCGGCTCCGTCCACAGGATTCTCCGTAGACCTGCAAGCGTACTGATCGCCTTGGGCAGCGATCAGGAGTTAAATGGATTTGGAGCAACTTTTCCCCTCAACGGCACACAAACACTGCTATTTCATCCTAATCCCACGGGAGCAGCCTGCCGAGCATCCCGCGTGGAGTCAGAGATAGCAGGGAAAGGATTAGTCACAAGGGGCAGAAGCTGATCTGTGAAAGCAATTCATCCAACTGTGAAGGGGTAAGGCAGAAACCGATTTTTAAGCAGCACAGAGATGAGGCAACAGATTTTCGGTCATTGCCACCAAAGTGCAGCCTTGAAAGGCTTTTGAGAATTTCTGAATTTCCCGGTTATACCGTAACACATTTCTCTAGATTCTAAAACAAGGAAAATCTTCACTGGGAGTTACCCGAGTCTTACACCACCCCCTGCCTCGCCCTGAGAGCACAACGGCCCCACACGATGTGTAGCGCAGGAGGTACAACTCCGGGATTTCAAGGGGTTTCTTGGAAGGCAGAGCAACCTCTACCACCTTGGCCTAAGACCAAGGTGATGGAGAAGTCAAATAACTTTGACCCTCAAAGACGTGTCTCAGAGACACCCTCTCCTGACTAGGATGATCTACAAGAACAATGAGCACACTTAAGCACGGGAAGGAAAAAATAATAATAAAAATAATCACATTATGCTTGTCTTGTAGAGTAGCACGTGCAGCCTCTAACCAGCAACCTCAGGACTGGCCAACAACACTGTGCCAGACAAAGAACTACCACCAGAGGATGGCTGAAATTATCGTTAGGAGGCCCTTCTCACAAAACCACCCACCAAGGAGAAATACCAGACGCTGAATATATCAGCTAGGGGATCTTTAGCAGAGGTTGATCACTCTTCATAGAGGTAAGTGAAGGTACTTGAAACACTATTAATATATTCCTGAAGTTGCCTGTACACCTAAAAACATGGGGGGTTGTTTCTTTCCTAGCCTTTAACGAGTTATACATTTGAATTTTTAACACATACACACACACACACACACTCTGAGAGATTATCAGTAGAGTTTAAATGATTCAGAATAATAATGCTCCTTTATTTCCAATCTGTGCGCTCGCCTCTCGTAGGTGCTTCTGAAAACTAGGTCAGGCCTATGATGTATATTTTAAATTTTGAAGTACTTGTAGGAGAGAATTAAATAGCATAGTGCATCATTTGGCTGAAGACATCTTCAGAATAAACAATAAGATTATCCAAAAATACTATGTCAAAGTGTTTCAAAAGAAAAACAAAGCGTGGCCGCTTCACGTTGGGAATATACATACATATATTATTAAGATGTCAATCCCCTACCAACCTAAAGGAGGAGACTGCTCTTTTACATTTCTGCATTCCCATTTTCTCTTCTCCCACTGTGACATTCTGGCACAACAGGGAATATATCAAAACACTTAACGGTCGCCAAACTCACCCAAAATTCAAGCACTGAAAAAAACATCAACTATAAGCAAAATTAATTATTTAAGGAACATGTTTTGCCTGCAAAGGGATGAAAATAGCTCCAGAGGTAATGATTTTTTTTTTTTTTTGAGACAGAATACAAGAAAATGAGAAGCTGTTGACGTTTGTGGCTTTTTGCTATAAGAAACAACTAATAACTTTGCAAGTATTATGGCTATGGAAGAAAAATTAGCAGAAAGAGCCATTTTTCCTTTAGAAAGAGTGCTCCCAAGAGACACAAATGTCTAAGCAACGAAATGATTTCTCTCACTTCAATGAAAGCATAATTTGCTCTCCTCAGACTCAAGGCTGAATGGATTTTTTACCCAAAAATACGCCGGTGCTGTGGAACCGATGTCGAAGGCTTTTCTCTGCAGCGGTCACACCAGCTCTTGGCCACGGGAGCCGAGGGGCTGCGCCTTTCGGCCTCCTTCCTCACGAACTAATCATCTCGTATTTCAGCACCATCGAATACTGCGTTTTGCATCTGGATTAATCTGACCTGACATTTCATGGTCCTTCACTCCTTTCTAGTTAAAGATACACTGACCTCCCACAACCAGCAAACACTGGGAAAGCAAGGCAACGTTCCTCTGGAACGGAGGGAGCCGAGAACCTAACAAATCTCTGCACACTGAGACTACCAAGTGAGTTCTTCTCTGACGTGGAAGACATAGTGCCAGCGCTTCTGAATTCCACCAAGATTTCAGCATCAGCGACATCGTGAAGGAAAGGTTCCTTCCACGGCCTCAATACTTCTTCACGCAACACACATCTCCTTCTCTTTGCTTTGAGCAGGGCCGTGATCTCACACACTTTTCATAACCCTTCACCACAGTTTTTTCAGGCTGAGAGATCCTACTCTAACCATTCTTCCACTGCAAACCCTCCTACACTTCTGACCTTCCCTGCTGCCTTTCCATATCCTAGCTCGACCATGACCTTCTCAAGTGGGGTGTCCCAGGACTGCACAGATTCAGATATACCAGGGATTTTATCCATGACATAATCACAGCCTCACTTTTGCTCGGTATACTTCTCCCAGTAAATTGTAATGTTGCTTTTTTCACTGGTAAGGACTGAGCTGATACTCCAAGATCATTGTAACTCCAAGAACCTGACCCCAGGTAATGGCCAGGTCAGTCTCTACCACTGCCTACACCTTTCCGAATTTTCTCCCCCCAGTGTACACTTCAATTCACTGAATACATCTTCTGCGCTCGCGCTACTTCAAATGCATTCTGCAGCTTTCCCATGGTGGCCTTCATCCTTCTGACCTTCAAACAGCTACGCGCTTGTAACCTTGCTTCTCCCCCCTCTATACAATCATCTAGGAATATGCTGAGCTGCACAGGCTCCGGCAGAGATCCCTCCCACACCACTCGCTGTTCTCACTTCCGCCTTCAGTCTCCTGCGTCCAACCCTTCACCGGAGCTCACGACTTTCCTTTCAGTTTTTATCAAAACACATTGACAAACATTCTCCTTCCACTCCCACTGAGCTATGCAAGAGACCCTTGGAGGTCAGGAGATGGAAGAGGTAATTCAGAACCGTGTAAAAGCACAGTGAAAAGGTGGTGGCCATATGAATTTCATCTCCTAAAGCATGCTGAGATGCCAGTACCCATTTGGAAGTAAACATTCAAGGAAAGACATCCATACACAATTATTTTCCCTTTTTTTTGCCTCAGTGAGAGACGACAGGACTGACCTTGATGTGTCTGTTCATAGCTGTAGACTGAGCAGCTCGAACTAAACCTTCTAATTCAGCACCACTGAAGTTCTTGGTCTCAACTGCCAGTTCAGCAATGTCCACATCTTCAGCCAGCAGCTGGTGCTCCCGCATCCGTACCGTGTGGATATGGAGAATCTGAAATCGACCCTTCTCGTCCGGCAAGCCTGAGGTTTTAAACAGAAGACGTCACTCAGCGCCTCGGCACAGCAACGGCAGCAAAGCCTTTCCCTCTCCTCAACAGCCCTACTGCCAAAGGCTCTTTCACCATGAGCAATTCTACACAAGTAGAATATTTGACAATGCTTTTTGTTGGAGAACGTTGTTACACTAATTGCCCCCAGCAAATTCATTAGCATCGCTACCAAACTAGAGAGAAAAAGCGTAATGTTTAGTTTCTTTCCCGCAGGGTTCCTCCAAGTTGGTTGCTCTCAGCCTTCCATCCCTGGAACTCACCTTACACAAAGGCAATCTAGTCAGTCTCTTGGCATCCCTAAACCCAGTCTCCACCTTACAATTATCACAGAATCATAGAATACTTTAGGTTGGTAGGGAACTTGACAGATCTAGTCCATGTCCTGCGCCATCAGTAGGGACATCTGTCACTAGAGCAGGCTGCTCAAAGCCCCATCCAGTCTGACTTTGAACACTTCCAACGACAAGGCATCTACAGCTGCTCTGGGCAACCTGGTCCGGTGCCTCACCACCTTCACCATACATTTCTTCCTTATATCCAGTATAAACCCACCCTCTTTCAGTTTAAAACCACTGCCCCTTGCCCTGTCACTACAGGTCTTGCTAAAACGTCTTTAGAGCTTTCTTGTAAGCCCCTATATATACTGAACGGCTGCTCTAAGGTCTCCCTGGAGCCTCCTCTTCTCCAGGCGGAACAATCCCAACTCTCTCAGTCTTTCTTCACAGGAGAGGTGTTCCAGCCCTCTGACCATTTTCATGGCCTCCTTTGGACCCAGCCCAGAGTGTGTACATTTTCTTTAATCTTCCTTTTCTGACCAAAGTACCTTTAGAAGCCTTTCTCATTATTTTTTGCATCCCTTGCCAAACGCAGCTCCCAGCTGTGCCTTAGCTTTCCTGACCCCAGCCCTTCACGTGTGCCCCTATATTCTTCCCAGGATCCACGTCCCTGATTCCACTGCCCGTGCATATCCTTCTTACACTTTAGTTGGATCAGGAGTTACTGAGCCATGCTGGTCTCTTGCCTTCCTTGCCCAATTTCTTACACAGGTGAATCAAGAGCTCTTGCATGCAAAGAAAAATGTCCTTAAAGAGCTGCCACCTCTGTTCTGCTCCTTTTGTCCTGAGGGTGGTTTCCCAGGGGCTCCCAGCTGCTAATGACTTAATCAACTGCAAGTTCACTCTCCTAAAACTCAGGGTCTTGACTTCACTCTTCATCTGCCCCATGCCATCCTCATACAATGTTCATTTCCTCTGACTGTAGTGATGATTTCCCAGTTCACACCTTAGCACTGCATCTGGCTACAGTTTTTGCCAGTACTAATTCTCTGTCATTACTATTTGTCAGCCTGACTTCTAATAATCCTCTACATGCTGCTACACGTGTCTTTTTCCAGTTTTCCTTTTTCGTGTATTGTGCCACACAAGTCTCTCTCAGTATTTCTTCCCGCATCCAACAAATGTCTTAGGCTCTTAAGTCTCCAGCATATTTGAAACTATCCACGCTGTCTGTGCTCCACGAGATTTTTAAATCCCAGCCAGCGCCCCAGCTGAATCTCCAGCCCTCACACCTTGCACAAGCTACACGCACAGTAATGCCTGGTGTAAACTCTTTCCTACGGTACTCAAGGACAGCATTAACTCCGGAGCATCAGCGTCAGCTCACTGCCCAGGTTACCTCTGCAGCTGCCTCAGCAGTCATCAGCTTCGCTTCCCCATTCCTTCTTTTGCCTAAAATCTTTCCTTTTCAGCTATCACAAAAACTCTTTCCTGTCTTGGGCTCTTTCAGAGTGATGTTACCCTTGAAGGATAAGAGAAAAAATCCCTAGCGAGCTCTTAAGAAGACATTGATAGATCAGAGTTCAAGAGTTTCCCCACCGTTCAGACCAGCACAGTCAATCACAACTTCGCCTGCCACTCTAGTATGATTCTCATATGATTTTTAGGATTATATAGGTATTTTCACCTAATTTTCTGCAACTGAAAGGAAACAGACCATATTAATACTCGCAGCCTTGCCTGGTTCCTTCTCTGTCACTCACTATAGCTTGAGAATTTTTACCTTTACAATAGCGGGTGCCTAGCGCAGAGCATAGAAAATACTTTGTACGTCTGTGTAAGGGAAAATGTTTCATAAGTTCTTCCAAACTACACATCTGAACCTGCATTCCAAAAGATTAAAGTAAACACGGATCTCAACCAATTTGAGCTCTCACTGCGAGACAGCATCATTAAGCTTTCAATCGGTCCCAGGCTACTCTCTATTCAAATACTCTTCCATGAACTGTTAACCTCAGAACTGAGCACCACGGTCTAGTCACCCTTTAGACTCCACCACGATCTTTACTGATCCAACTTCGGATCTCAAATGTAAAGTCAGAGACTTCTTTTCATGAATCTAGGAGGACTGGGCCTTAATTCCTTAATAAACCCTCCACTATCAGATACTCCATTATTTAACCTGTGCTGGTGTCAGGCAGAAGTTACCGAAGTCGACTCGAAGTTCCTGACAGTTGCGTTCTTTCCCAGCTCACTAGAACAAACCGCTAACAGAGCTCTTCGGCCCACTTTAGCACTGTTGATACACGCAATCCAGACCTGCCGACTGCAGCAGCCAACAGCCGAAGCCACGTAACATTTGCAGTTCCTGCAGTGAAAGTCGCCACCATCGCTTCACGCAAACCGAAGGCCCTGCACTTCCTCCAAGGCAAGACCTGCTCGCGCGCTGCACTTGCCTGCTCTACGAGTTCACCAGTTCCACGAGTTCCAGCTAGGAACGACCCGGTGCCGTTACCGGGCGCCCTTGATGCAGGCAAGCGACTCAGGGTCCTGCCTGCCCATACCTACGCATTCTGCTGGACAGAAACCCGTACCAGGTCAGTGGCTTGTCAGCAGGTAAGTCTAAAATGGTATTGTAATTGGCTGACTAAAGTTACATGTGATATTACGGAGGGAGCTGCGTGATGTTTAGCACCCATGCCATCCTGGTTAATTGTTCACACTGATACACACTTGCTTCACTATTTTTAGTACATGTGAGGTTACGTGTTGCGATCTGCTAGCTTGCTTACCGATCTCCATTTTCACCTCCAGTCTCCCCGGTCTCAGCAGAGCCTCATCGATCAGGTCAGGTCTGTTGGTCATTCCTAAATCCAAAGTTAAAAACAAAATAAGCATTATCTGAGCTTACCAAGTGGATCTCCAACTCCCAAATACAGCCCACAGAGCTCCAAAGATACCTCAAAGAGTCTCAAGCAAACAGACAAAAGATATCAATCTCCAGGAATCTTGGAAAAGCCGTGCCCTGAAGCTGAGTCAGGGCAACAGGGACCGAAGCTGTATCTGTGACTGTATCTGCAGGGCATCAGAACAACCAGACAACACAGCTAGAGAAGCCTTGGCTCCTTCATATACTGATACATCCATGTGTATGACTCCTTGCAAGTTTTCTTAAATCAGGAAACACTTGTTATTACAAACTAAAGGAGGCAATTGTTGAAAGCAGAGTATCAGCCTACTGCAGCACCACCTCCCTTTCAATCTGCTGCGGATGCCTGTCAAACAGCAGTCCTTCACTTTGGGTTAGTGCAAACTGATCCCATACCAGTAACGGCAACTCAGCTGGCTTGCAGCAAGCAAAATATCAACCAGACCCCACAATAATGAAAGTAAGCACCATCATACCGATGACTAGGATGTTGTTGAGCTGCTCTACTCCATCAATCTTAGACAGCAACTGGTTTACTACAGTATCATGGACTCCAGTGCTACCCGCCATGCTTCCTCTCTGCTTGCAGATTGCATCAATCTCATCAAAAATGATGATATGCACACCGCTGTTTGCTCCAAGC